TTATATTTAGTAGTAAAGAATATAGTACTAAACTCTTTTACTATATTGTTAAACTTTATAATATTAAATATTTTATATTTTAAATTTTCCGCAATAAGCAATTAATAGCCTGCAATTTACTACTATTATTTTTATAACTATTTTATAATAAGTTTTGCTGTTTATATAAATAATAGTACTAATATACTGCGCAATACTAGGCCTGTAGTACTAAATACTATTTACTGCACTGCTATATTGCGCGTTATAACTAATAATTATTTACTTATTAATATATAAGTATTTTTTTAGCCCTTTTTACTGCAGGAAACTATTAATAAATAAGTTTTTATTATTTTTTTTTTTTTTTTTAATTAGCTTTTTAGCTAGCTTTTTTAGCATACGCTGCTAGTTAATAAAAAAAAACTTATTTAGCAACTTTAGCTGCCCTATATAATTTAGCAGTAAGTAAATATATTATTATTATATAGCTATAATAATTACTTACTTTAAATATATAAGTTTTTAATATAAAACTAAAAGAGCTTTAATATTTCTTAAGCTTTTAAATTTAATAATTAATAATAATTATTAATACAGGCTTTCTTCCTGCGTTCTATAATTATAGTATTTAAATAGTTAAAATTTATTTTATTAATAATTAAGAGTAGATATATAGTATTTACGCAATAGTTAGAAATGTACAACTAGTAAGTATATAAAAATAAATTAATTTTTAATAAGCTATAGTATAAAAATAAGCTTTATTTTTAATTACTTTTGCGTTAAATACTGTTGCATTAAATAACTATTGCTATTAAAAAAGTATTGCGAAATTTTATAAAGTAAAAAATAATATTTTAATTATAATATTTTATATATTATGCGCTAAGCAATTGCTACTACTAAATTGCTACTACTAAATTGCAATTATAAAACTTTTATTATATAATTTTATAATTTTCTACTTTTGCACTTTATACTTTGCTTTTTTTTCTTACTTTTTACTTTTTTGCTTTCTATTAGAAATTTTTGTTGTAGGAATCTTTTAAATATACTTTATAATATTATCCCTTTTTTTGCTAAAAAAACAATATTTCTTTAAAATAATTATTTAATATTTTATAATATTACTATATTAGATTTATAAATTTATTACGAACTAAGTATATTGTATATTTATTATTAAATTAATTTATTATAAGCTGCAAATAGACAGCTCGCAATATACTATAGTATATTTTTTTTAAAGTATAGCTTAATACAGTAAACTAGCATAGATATATAGATTTTATTATATATAGTACTGTTGTTTTATTATTGAATAGCTGCCTGAGCAGTTTTAGCCTTCCTTCAACTTAAAAAAATTAATAAATTCTAGCTATAAATTTAATTTTATACTTTTTTATAAAAAATATAAAAATTATTTATAATAAATTTCTAAATAGTAGCAAAACTAAACTACTGCAAGTAACTTTAAAAAAGTAATAAAAAAAATAAAAAATAAATTACTTATACTTTAAAATAAAAATATTACTTTTTTTTAGTAGAACCTAAAAGTTCTTAAAGAACTTAATAAAAAGTATAACTAGAAAAATATAATAATAAAACTTATAAAAGTAAGTAAAAACTAGCAATAAAATTTGTAATTAATTTTAGTATTTTTTAATTAAAAGCGCTTTTAAAAGCTTTAAAATATATTAAGTACTACTACTACTTTTATTATAAAAGCGCTTAAATATACTAATATACTAAAAAATTTAGATATATAGTAGTATTTTTTGCAAATAAGTAAAATAATTAAATACTACTTTATTAATTGCTAGCAAAAGTTAAACTTTATATGCACTAAAATAAAATTTAAAATAAAATTAACTAAATATAATTCTTATAATTTTAATAAGTAGGATTTTAATTAAAAACTTTATTTATTAATAGAATATCTTCTGCGGAAATGCAACTAGTAAATAAAAAAAAAAAAACTGTTTAATATAAAAGCTTACTTTAAAAATAATATTTATATTTTAAGTATATAAAAAACTATATAAACTACTGCAAATTTTATATTTTTTTTAAAAGTAAATAGCAAAAATTTTTATATATACTGCGTAATTACTCTGCTTAAAAAGCAAAGCTACTAAATTATATAACTAAATTAAAAATTAAAGAATTTAAACTTTTTTATTTTAAAAAAAAATTAAAAGCACTATTAAATAATTAACTTGCTTATTATTTATATTTAAATACTTTTATAATACAACTAAAACTAGCAAACTAAAATTATAAATAATACTATAAAATACAAAAATATTATAAAGGCCTACTTATTTAATAGTAAAAAAGTTTTTTATATAATTAAATATAATTTTAATGCTATAAAGCTAAAGTAAAAGTTTAAAATTTTAATTAATAATTTATACTAAATACTACTTAAAGCAGAGTTTCTAAACAATTTTAATTTTATACTAAATAAAAACTTTATATAAGTCTATAGTTTAGTTTACTTATAAAGTATAAGTATAAGTTTTTAAATATATAATTTTAGTAAATTAGCAAACTATTTTGCCTGCTAGACTATATAATATACTACTAAAAAAATAATAATTAATAAAAAAAGAATAAAAGTACAAAAAAAAAATAAAAATATAAAAAAAAAAAGTAAAATTAAAATAAATTTTATACTACTAAATAAATAGCGCATTGCTTAAATTAATAAAAAGCATACTATTAATACTTTTAAAATAGTTTAGCTTATTATAAATAAGTGTAATGTTAAAAGTATAAAAAATAACTAAGCTAAGTATACTGCTATATATATAAAAATTAATAAAATTCTTAAAAAATAGTTTTTTAGCTTTTTTTATTATACTAAGAAAAAGATTAAGTAAAAGCTACTAAAGCTTTAAAAAGCATAAAAATTAAAAAAAAAAAAAAAAAATAAAAAGCTTTAAAGTATAAATAATACTTAAAATTATAAGTATAAAATTATAAATAATAATAAGCGTACTAAGATCCCTAAAAAGAATAAAAGTTTCTATAGTAATAATAGTAAAGGCAAAAATATTGTTTTTAATTTAGACAGAATATTTAAGCTTTAGCTTAGGCTAAAAATATTTAAATATATTAGAATTTCTAAACTTTTTACTAAATATTAAAAAATAATTATTTTAGTAAAAAAAAGGACGCTAGTTACAAAGCTTTAAATTTTAAAAAAAAAAATAGTAAATAAAAAAAAAAAGCTAATAGCTTAATATTTTATATTAAATTTTATAGCAAATTTAGTAGAAAATTTTATAAAAAACTTTATTGTAAAACTAGTAACTAATCTAGCTTCTATTTTAGTAATTACTATTTTTACTATAAAAATTTTAAACTAAAAGCTTTTTATAGCTAAATAAATTAAAATAATTATATAAGTATTTTTTTTAGCAAGCAAGAATAAGCAGCAAAAAAATTATAATAAAATAAATAAAAAAGCTAATGCTATAAGCAAAATTAGAAAAATTTAACTAAATAATATACTACTAAATAAAGACACTACTTTTATAAAAGCCTTAAAAAAACTTAGCAAATAAATTAATTTAAAAAATAAAATATTACTTAAATAAAGTTTATTAGACTTTTAATTAATTTAGCAGCTTTTTATTGCATTTTAGATTAATATAATAATATAAATAAATTAAAATACTTTTTTGCAAAATACTTTATTTATTTATTTTTTTTAATATAATTTTATAAACTTTTTATACTATACTTATAAGTTCTTGTTTTAGTTTTTTTCTTATATATAAACTATAATAAAAAACTACTTTTTTGCCTGCCTACTAAAATAGTACTTATATAAATATAAATTTTTTTTTTTTTATAATATATAAAAGCTTGCTTTTTTTGTATATAAAACTTTTTTTTTAAAAAGTAATTAATAATAGTCTAATTTTATAAGCACTAATAAATACTTAGTAAAACTTTTAATTATATAAAAGCTTATTTTATTACTATATAATATACAGCTTGTAATTTTATATTTAATAGTATATTTATATTATTATTTTTAAAAGCTAAAAAAGCATTAGCTATAGTTACTAAAGTTTTTATTAATAAAAGTAAGCTTTATATAAATAAAAAAATAATTTTTTTTTCTATTTTTAAAGTAATAGAGTATAGTAGTTTTTTTTCTTTAATAATTTTTTTTTTTTAATAGCTTTTTTTTTTTAAAATTTTTTCTTTAAGTTTTTTTTTATTATAGTATAATAATAAATATTAGGTTGTTTATTCTTACTTACAGAATTATCTAGAAAAATAAAAATTTTAGTACTAAATTTAATAATATTTAGCTACTAGTTTACAAAAGTATAGCTATTATATAAATATTAAAAAAAGATAGTCTGTGCTAAAATAAAATATATTATTTACTTAGCAGCTAGTTTAGCTTAATAAAACTTATAAATACAGATTATTACTCCTATATCATGACATTATCCAAGATACAGTAGCAGCGCAGATGGACCGACGACAGACGAATGCTACCTGTGTATCCAGCAATATTACCGCTCACATCTATTGATGGAGGAACCTCTTACCCTATGTTATGTATAGACTACGGTAGCTGTTGCATGTCGAAGATGCCGTCATAGCGCACGGCCGCCTCTGTCGATCGCTGCGTCTCCACACGTGGTAACTCCGGCCCCACCGAGGCGTCAACGGTGCTCGCGTCTCACGATTCCTTTTACACCGGCTCCGAAGTCAGAGTCAGACTTTGTCTCAGCCTCGATTCTTTGAGACCACGTATTGTTGTTGTAGAGTGTCCACATAGTTTGTCTCGACCTGCCTCGCACGCCGCTCATTAGCACCGCTCGCTACCGTCCTCTTCCAGCTTGCTCCTATAGCTCGGAGCTCCCGCCTTGCGTCCGCACTACGAGCCTCTCAAGAGCGCACCGACTTGCCAGAATCGAAGTGGAGGCTTTCAGAACACATCCAATGGTGAAGGATGATCTGCATAAGGACATAACAAAGAAGGCACGATGAGCGGAGACTGGGGGTATGGGACCGTACTGAAGATCTTCGTATGGGGGTACTTGATAGGAGGACTGACTCTTCTTCCGGCCGTGCTTGCACTCGCCTGGTTCCTATGTACCACGCCAGTTGACCACGAGAGCCTTGGAGGAACAGCCCCCAACGGCGGAGTAGAGGGACGCAGAAAGTCTAATGGATCGATGAGTGGGAACGATGAAGACAGTAACAACCTGGGCTTTGGGCTAGATGACGAGATATTGGAGAAGTTGAAAGGAAGAACTCATGTACCCGACGTATTTGCTGGGTACTTCGCCGTATGTCGCGAGTATGTGCCTGGCGGTATCAACGGGAAACCCCCAGATCGTACGACTCCTGCCGGTGCTGTAGTATCCATGGAGAGCCCTAGTGTGTATCAGTCCATGTACAGGAGTATCTTTGACCGGAATAAAACCATGAGCCCGACAATCGAGGCTTCGAACGCGAGAAGCAAGAAGGCGCGGAATGTCTTCTACGTCGTGTTACGGTATGCTGCTATGTCCAGTGGTGGCATAGAAGCTAACAAGAGGCAGGCTCGGACACTTGATGCTCTACGACAACGAAGACCAAATCGAGGTCCGCCATGTGATCTCTCTTGCGCACTACAAAGCCGACGTATACTCTGGTGGAGACCGCATCCCTGAAGGCGAGTTGTGGATTAAGCGAAACTGTATGTTTATTGTTGTGATGCATTCAAAGCTGCAATACTTACTAGGGCAGGCATTCGGTTGATTCAAAAGCTCGATGGCGATGCTGCCGTAGAGGCCAAAGCATTTTATCTCTTCTCCGACAATTGCTCGGAGAAGGAGGACTTTTACCACGCGATGCTCCAGGCGCAGGAACACCACAAGGACCACGCCGCTAGCAATCTGCCTCCTATTCCGCTCAAGTTCGAGACACCGGACCTTGTCAAGCTCGTCCAGCAGTTGCATGCCTCAGAAGAGAACTTGCACACCCGCTGGATCAACGCCCTGATCGGCAGGGTCTTCCTTGCTCTCTACAAAACGTCAGAGGTGAAGAACTTCATTGCGACGAAGATCAACAAGAAGATAGCTCGCGTGCGTAAGCCTGCACTCATCAGCAGCATTCAATTGCGCAGCGTTGATATGGGAACCCTACCACCTTTCATTACAAATCCAAAGCTCAAGGAGCTTACTGTCGATGGCGATCTTGTCGTAGAAGCCGACGTCAGCTACAAGGGCAACATCCGAATTGAAATCTCGGCGACTGCACGAATCGATCTGGGAGCTCGCTTCAAGGCGCGTGAAGTGACCCTCGTTCTTGCAACCGTCCTGAAGAAGCTCGATGGACATTTTCTCATTAGGATCAAGCCGCCTCCGAGTAACAGGCTCTGGATAACGTTCGAATCACCACCGCGGATGGAGCTAGCACTCGAGCCAATTGTGAGCTCGCGACAGATTACTTATGGCGTTGTACTGAGGGCTATCGAGAGTCGTATACGAGAGGTCGTCAACGAGACATTGGTATTGCCGAATTGGGACGACATGCCGTTCACGGACACGATTGCGCAGATCATACGCGGGGGGATCTGGGAAGGTGACAAGATGGGTGAAATAGAGGAGCTTCCTAAGATCAAGCACGATGATGCTGCAATGGAATCCGCAATTCCCGATCTTGAGAAACTCGACGAGAACGCGGACGCCGGCTCGCACCTATCTATTTCCTCCAGCATTGAGTCTGAGGAACTCGGAACTGGCATTTCCAGTTCAACAGACTACAAGTCATCGTCTGTGAGACCCCGACCATTGCGATCGGCATCCTCTACAGCACAAGTCAAGCTCGATTCAGCGAATGCTTCAGCCGAGATTGTGAACGACCGCGAAAGCAAGACACCAACAAGCATACGGTCGCTTCCTATCCCGTCGCCAATGAGATCACCATTCCCACCTGGAATCTCGGATATTACAGCAGAGTCTTCGAGCAGTTCGGCTGAGGACGTGACTACAGCTTCGATTTCAGGAGCGAGCACGAGGTCAGCCCCCATTCCCGAGACCGAGAAGGGACACGCACGCATGAGGTCAAAAGACTTGACCGCTCAAGAAATTGCAGCTGCCGCCGCCGCCGCAGCTAGCGCAACGAACGCAACAAAAAAGCAGACCCTCAACCAGTCGCTTAACTCGGCTACAGCAGCAGCGAGAAACTGGCTCGTCTCGAAACAGAATCCACAATCCTCGCGGACCAACAATCCTATAGGGAGCAAAAATAGTCTAATCAACAACAGACCACTGTCCTCTGAGGGCCAAGGCTTGGACGGTGACGGCGCAACGGAGTCATCCCCTTCCGTATCAAAGTCACATACTGAGCCAATGGGTCGAGGCCAGCCTTTGCCACCTCTAGGGCAGCCGCTCCCACCACCTGCAAAGCCGGATAAGCGGCAGACCTGGACCTTGCCAGCAGCGTCTACATTTGCCAATCTGGCAAAGAGGAAGCCTATCTCGACGACACCCGTTTTGTCTGAAAGGAAGAGCAAGGAACAGCTTGTCCCTCCTACAGATACCCAGCAGGCAAGTGACGCCACACAAGACAGTGAGGACATTTTTCGCAGGAAGTCCCACTCCACTCAAGACAAGCCGCCGCCACTGCCACGTAGAAAGTCTTCAGTCGGAAGTACCACGCCTTCGACGCCGCCGCCTGCCCTCCCTAAGCGACGGCAACGTCAGCCGAGTCTGAACCTGAGTTCGCATAACCGCCGTCCTAGCCAGAAGCAAAATCATATGGATGAGCTTGGGGACGAGGCAGGAGAGAGCCTGTTTGTCGTTCCAGCGCCGCTAGTCGAGGGTAGCGCGCCGACTAGCCCGACAAGTGGCGAAGGGAGAGCTGAGTCGATTAGGGGAGATGGAGAGAGTGGGAAGGTATCATTAGCGTCAGACAAGGCGAGTGAGCGAGGTATAACGTAGGAACTCTACGAGCTTGGCTGAAAGTTATCAATACAATGCATATTCCTCTCAGAGAAAGTCCAAGCACAATGCTCTATTGCTATACTTGATGCATGACCTTGTCCTCTCATGAGTTACAGTAAAGTATGCAGTATCATCCGCATTGCCAACCATCTCACTACTCCTTCTCCTCCCCCTTGGCCGTTATTCCACCTTCAGGACGCGGAAGCAGGCCCCTGTGCGCGGCTAAGAAAATATCTTCTATATTATGCTTTTGATCTTCAGTGGTTGCGCCAAGCTCTTCCGCTGCCACGCGTATGTCTCGCAGAGTGAAGTAGGGCTCGTAAAGGCCGGGTGATGAGCTTAGTGGTGGGTATCCGGTGTCGTAGGACTCGGCGACGGATGCCGCCCAGCTGGCTGACAGGGGGTTCTCCTGGTCGTTTGAGGATTCGTCGGGCTGCTGGTCTGCTTGCTGGTCTGCTTGCTGGTCTGCTTGCTGTTCTGCTTGCTGTTCTGCTTGCTGGTCCACTTCTTGGTCCGCTTGCTGGCCAACTTCTTGGTCCGACTGTTGGTCGTATTGCTGGCCTGCCTCTTGTGCTGGATTGGTAGTATCTTGACGCCGAGGCCGAGGCAATGCAGCATATGTTTGATCTAAAGGTGTCAGAGAGAGACCGTACCATGTAAGGGCATCAAGTACTAACCTCGTATTCTCTCCATTTCCCTCGTTTGAGCATCTACCGCTTGCTCAACAAGCCCCATAGAGTCTGCTATAATTGAGAGGGTACAGACAACATACTGTCGGCCCGATAACATCTCCTAGTATGTATTATTGACCTTGTTGAGCTTGTTGTTGACGCGCTCCCACATATCCCCAATACGAACCCATTGATTAGTACGATCTGGCCCTGTCTGGGACCGAAGAATCTCGAGAAAGTCCCAAGCCGGATTATTCTTCGCCTTTGATCCACGCATCTCGCCCTTCTCTAGCTCGAGCTCCTAGTCGAAGAGTTGTTTGTGCAGTCTGGATCGGGACCACAAGGAACCTGTAGGATGGAGAGGCCAGCCTAGTTTTTTTGATTTGTTCGTCCAAAAGGCTTCCACGAATACCCTCACCTCGGCATTCATAGCCGCTAACTCCCGGGAAGCCACGGTTTCCATCTGTTGATAGAGGATCTTGATTATGCCAAACCAGTAGCTAGCACCGGGTTGCATCCATGCAGACGCCCTGATATGATTCTGCGAGCAAGCGCAAAGCTCTCTGAGTCCTTCAAGGAATACTTTGGTAGTTAATGGTGCTCCGAATTCTTCTGATGGCCAGGGTGGCAGTTCCCAGTCGACTGAGGGCTCCGAAGGCGTTTCAGCTCGCCCCTTCCCCTTTGTTGGTCGAGAGCTGCTTGGCCCCGTTTTCGTAGCAGGCTGAGGATTCGTAAAGCTTTGAGTTGGAAGCCCCGTGGGCTGGGCGTGTTCTGCATCTAACAATTTGGGCGCGACGACGCTGTCTACCTTCTTCCGCTCCTCTGCCAGTTGAGAGCTGCTTGGCTCCGGACTCGTAGAAGGCTGGCGATCTGTAGATCTCGGGGGCTGTGGCCTTGTGGGATGGGTGGGTTGCACATCTGTCGAGCTTTGCGCGACGGCGCTGTCTGCTTGCTTCTTGCGTTTATTACCCTTTCTCCTTGCCATGGCTGTTTATGTTGTTGCGTAATGATAGGCCACTAGCGATAGACGATAGGCTTGGAGCGGTCGAAGTGGTGTAAGAAAGTCATGGTGTTAGTACTGGCAGTCACTTTAGGTGAGTCCAAACGCACTGATATGACGCCACGGCGTACGCAGCTGCTGCTTGGGGTCGGCTAGGCCTTTGCATTACCGTCTGGAAAGTTCAATGCATCCTAGAGGCAACCAAACAACTGTATGTACGTGAAAAAGTATCATGCGATATATAAGAATCATCACCTAGAGCCAAACACAAACGGCCGCATTTTGCACGATGAAAAGTGTGTCTCGGTCTCTTCATGTTCTCGATCATCTATCATGATAAATGACGGGCTTCTCTCAAGCGGCACGTGACTTCTTCCGAACATCTTATGTGCGCCTGACCTCTGTCCATGGAAGCAATGTGGCCCCAAATCTCGACGACGATATTCTTGTACAGCGCCAGTTCCTTGTGATTGTGACACTTTGTTCTCAATGGGTTCCCATATGAGCAGTCGAAGATCATGGTGCTATCTTGTTATGGCAGCTGGGAACACGATGAAAATTGAGTCAACCAGGCAAAGCGAGCACTTGGGCCATGTGGAAAGCCACATATATTTCCACTTCTCTTTCACGCCATCTAGCGAGCCCATCGTCTATCTCCATGATTGTAAATGTTCCGAGCGTATTGGGTCAGGAAGCGTTTTGGACGAGTGCGCACATACACTCTTGCGAGCATTGCAATTCTTGCATCATCGTTTTCGTCATTGATCATTCCTCGTATCTTCGACCTGTCTCATCGCGTCATAACCTTGTCATATCCCGCTCATCCCATCTTTGCATTCGAAAAGTCCATCTCGGGATGCTGCTGCTTGAACTGCGAGAGAATGTCCAGCTTCTTCTGCTCGTCGCTGGTCGGCTTTCCCTGCTCCTTCTGCCTCTGGTCGAACATCATCTTCTCCACCATGCCGCGTGTCTCGCCGTCGAGATCACCCAGTTTGCTGTTCTCAGGCTGGATCTTGGAGACGTCGATTTTGGGCGCGGAGGTGATGACATGGGGCCACCACTCCATTTGGTTCATTTTGTCGAGGTGAACGGCGATTTCTTTGGCCGAGCCAGATGAGGCGAGCGTCCAGGTCGACTCATCGACACGGATGGCGTGGGGAAGCTCGCCCTGCAAACATGGTAATGTTAGATGCGACCCAGAAGTGAGTGTGCGAGTACGTACATCAATGAAAGGCTGCTGGCCCTTGATGCCGACTTTGAGCGCGTTCCGGCTGATCTTGACGTCCAAGTCCTTTCCCTTGTACTTTGCTTCGATGGAGATTGTGATGTCGACGTCCTTGATGGTTTGGTCCCATTTGTACGGCAGCGCGGCCTGCTCGGCCTGCTCCTTTGCGCGGGCCTGGACGTCGGCCTTCTCTCGCTCCTCAGGTGGTGGCGAGTCGGGCATGGCGGCGGTCGTCGGTTGTTTGGTGGCTTGTTTCGAAAGGATGGTGAATTTGTTTGGAGGGGAACGTGGACCGCCGGCAGCTCCATCGCCATCGTCATCGTTCGTGGCCAAAGCTGCTGCCATGGCCGTGCGCCCATCCTCAATGCTGTACCCCGGTTCGGTCCAACAACGACCACGCACGCCGGAACAGCAATCTGCGCGACGGCTCCATTTATTGATAAGGCGACTCCTCCTATTCTTCCTGCTCGACGTGATGCTGCGATAGAGACATCCGAGCTACTGCGACCGCCGGCCACAACACGACCACCGGACAACGACGCATTGCGCGGCCCGCTCGGGCAGCAACTCTCCCAGCAGTAGTACCCCTAGGCACTCATGGCGAGCTCCTTCGAGAAGAGTGTGAAGGGCGGGACCAAGATCAAGGTAGCTAGCTATGCGCAGCTCCCCGTGCTCTGCCGTTCGCAGCCTTTCTTCGACCCGCACGCTAATATATACCGGCACAGCTCGCAGCGCCCAAATCCAAGTATGTCGAGCATATCCTAGTAGCGACGCATGCCGGCGAGGCAGGCGTCGCCGAGATCTTTCGCGCCCTCACGAACCGCCTGCGCGACTCGACATGGACCATTGTATTCAAGAGCTTGATCATTGTCCATCTCATGATACGAGAGGGCGAGCCGGAAGTGACATTGAAGTATCTGGCGCAGAATCCGCAGAGAAAGTTGGCAATTAATCATTTCACAGAGGGTACGTCTACAGGCATTGTTCCCGAGATCTAGCGGCGAGCTGGTGTGGCCCGAGGCTCTTCTGTAGAGTGGGTGTATATGGGTCGCGGTTGGATTTGGGGTAGGAAGAACGCGCTGACAATATGCGCAGTACAAACCCAAGGCCACAATATACGGACATACGCCGAATACCTACTACGACGAGCGATAGAATATGGTGCGACCAGAGTGGACTACGTACGCGGCGGCGAGGGTCGACTGAAGCGATTGACTGTCGACAAGGGCCTCCTGCGAGAGGCGGAGAGTGTCCAGGACCAGATCAGATCCCTTCTGAAATGCCAGGTACGGCGAAGAGACGCCTCGTGAGGTTTGAATGCTGATAGAGCGCAAACGCAGCCGTTCGACGATGAGCCGGAAAACGAGATCACATTGACTGCTTTCCGGTTGCTGACCATGGACCTGCTGGTGCTCTTCCACGTTATGAACGAGGGCACCATCAATATCCTGGGTTAGTCGCCTTCATCTCATCTCACGCTATCTTGTACTAATGATGCAGAGCATTACTTCGAACTGTCAAAACCGGATGCGACACGCGCCCTTGCCGTATATCGCACCTTTGTGAAGCAAACCGAGGCGGTTGTGTCATATCTCAGCCTCGCCCGCTCACATGAGCATTCGACCAGATTAGAGATTCCGAAGATCAAACATGCGCCGACTAGTCTGGCGGCTTCACTAGAGGAGTATCTCAACGATAAAGACTTCGAGGTCAATCGGCGGCAATACCTTGCGGAGAAAGAAGCAAAGAAACACGGGGGCAAGCCCACCAATGGAGCCAGTAAAACCCAGGAGCCAAAGGCTGTGACAGTAAACACACCTAGTAGTCAGCCATCAGCAGCACCGCAGCTGGCAGCACCGCCATCGAAACCCGCTACAAGCGCACCGCTGATCGATTTGTTCGCATCACTGGAAAACAACCAACAGACCATGGCCACGCAGCCGATGATGCAGCAATATCCGCAACAGACTGGCTTTCAGCAGCAAAGTTTTCAGATGCCCCAGCAGACGGCAAACATGGGCTTTCCTCAGCAGCAGCAACCCTTCATTGCACAGAACGGACAGGGCACAAATCCGTTCCAAATGCAACAGCAGCCACAAATGCAGCAACAAATGCAGCCGCCGCAGATGCAACCACAGTTTACAGGTGCTGGCTTTGGCGGCTATACACCGCAGCACGCATTCAGTCCTCAAAGTGGGCTAGCTCCCATACCGCAGAACGGCGTGCCCGACTTCTCACAACAGCAAATGCAGCTGCCCACTATCGCCGAGCCGTTACAACCGCAGCAAACGTCGACCAACCCGTTCCGACAGTCCATGTTACCCAGTGCAGCTGGCATGGCTGAACCCAAACTTCTCAACAACCCTACTGGTGCAAGCTCGCTCAACCGCTCTGCAACGAATCCATTCGCAAAGCACACCACCGGCTTTCAGCAGCAGTCACAATCACCTACCGGCTCGTTACCTTACTCGGCGTCTCCGGTTCAATCGTCACTCTTCACGCCCATGCAACAACAGCAACAACCCTTACAGCCACTACAGCCAGCGCCAACCGGGACAAATCCGTTTGCGAGACAACCATCACCCCAGAACGCTACGTCTCCACAGGGTGGCCTCACGGTCCACGCAACTGGGAGCACCAATCCCTTCCGCCAAAGCGCTTTTGTAAACCAGCAAACGGGGCAGGGCTGGCAGAGTGCAGGTGGCCCAGGCACATTGGGCGGAATGAGCTTGGATCAGGTCCCTACGACTAATGTATTTCCACGACCGGGACAGCAGCAACAGCAAAACTTCCTTGGGTAGGCCGAAGGGAAGGGGGCGAGGCAGTGCGGTATGGTGGACTCCGCCACAGTGGGAGGCGTTTCTTTGCGGTCGGCGCTCTTTGTTACTTCCTGCTTTCTTGTCCCGTTGAATGGCATAGCTATCGGACTGTAAGTCAAGGAAATGTGCTAGTCCTGGATCAGACGTCTGGGAGATGCAAGGATGCTCATAATCGGGACTACTGTGCAAGTCTGGGTGGTATTGCAATGGCTGATCTCGTCGGTGGGATCAAAGGTTAGGGTTAGCACCTTCATGATGAACCTGTAATTATTATTAATAATCTGTCATCACTAGCCCACCTCAAGAGTGTCCGTGTAGCTGCTATTGTTTTTCTCAAGATGCTTGTGAGACACGTGATGGCGCGTTGGCGCGTTTTAGCGTTCGGCGAACATCACTCCAACGCTTCTGCCCAGTCACAATGGCCAATCGACGCGGGTACACTGCAAACGATCCTATTGATCTCGATACTATTCCAGATGACCGCACATATCTACCTGCGCCCAAGTTGCCCGGCGTCCGAAGGCGCACTCGACCGTCAAATCCTCCACCCCGCGGTGTAGAGGTAATTGCGCAATCCGATGAGGATCCGCCATCAGCAAGGGCCGCTGCGCAGAATGGAGCCTCCAATGCCAGTCGAGGCAGCACTTCGATCTCGAAACGGGACAGTAGCTTTGGAGCAGGGGTTATCCCGCGAGCGAAGGTTGACCTGCCACACCGCATACCTGTGATAAGCGATGATGAGGGTCCATCGGTAGTGGTGGGAGGAGAAGCACCTGCTGGCCCTAACGAGCCCTCACGACATAAACGACGGACCTCCACATACACACTACCAGGCTTTCAATCCAGTACTAGGCTTTTAAAAAGCACACGCCCTCTTCAACTTTCCGGTAGGGCAAATGTAGCCCCTAGGTCAGCCTCACCATTCGCTGCTCAACGTTCAGAGCTGTCACCCATGGGCGACTCCTTGCACAACACTCCTTCTGATTCCGCCATGCCAACTCCAACTCCAACCGTGATAACACCAATTGGAGCGTCTACCGGCGAACAGACCACACCTAGTCGCGTTGACACGCAACCGACGATTGAGCACGCCAATACAGGAAATGTAACAACTGGAGCGTTCAATGCGACATCGTCTATGGCTGCGGAAACTTCTAGACCAGAGGTCCAGAGCGCGACAAGAACCCAACTAAGAAAAGACGGCATAAAATCAGCAAACCCAAGTCAAGCGCGAGGGACGCGGGTACGTCGCCCTATCAAACGACACGGTCCGGCTCCGGTAATGGACGCTGTTCAGCTCAGGGAATCAGTCGCACCTAATAGCACCGTGCACTCTGAGCCTCTGACAAGGCGAAGCCGGAGCAAAGAGGCATCAGCAAATGTCCACGCAGCCACCAACTCTGATGCAAAAGTAGGCCCAAACACTCGGAATGCCTCGCTTGAACCACTGCCCGCGGTACCTCAGCACGAGCAGAATGGCGTCTCCCCGTTGCCCAGTGACGATACGGAACGTCCTTCAACTCTCACTGACCATGTTGACATGATGCGCTTAGCGGTGGTTAACTGCTTAAAATATTTTGTAGGAGAAGGCCAAAAAGCGCATGCACACCTGGCCGGAGTCAGGATGAAATGTCAGAGGACCTGTCAAGAACGTGAGCTTCGCGCCCAACGCCATCGGCGGAGAGGTCCACTCCCTCCAGCTTTACCCGAGAAGTATATACAATCTATCTCGCCATTTGCAAGCATGTCATCGATACAGACGCCTTTCGATAAGACGCCCCGCAACGGAAGGCTTCGAGATCTCAGCCAGGAAATCTTCACGAAAGCCAAGCCAAAAGACTCCGTGATTAGATCGACTTGGGCCGCACCTACAACTAAATTCAAATTCAAGGCAATCTTCATCCCCAAATTCAGGGAATATATCAGTTTGAAGAATAGTATGCTTGCTGACAACGAGTCGAAACTACTCGCCACTCCATACTTCCAAGATGAGCATGAGGATGACCGCGAGGAATTGCTGAGGAAGTTACCGCGTTACTATGAAATGAAACATGATGAGAACGGGCTATTTAATACTCGGTTAGAGCAGTGCCGTTTTTACAAAGATAGTATCGACGCTTTCTTGCGCAAGGTTGGCATCGCATGGGATGATGTCTTATTTTGGCTTTTAGCGCCGGATAGGATGATCAAGCTGATCAATGATGGCTCCTCGGAGGGTAACCAGTTTGAAAGTCTACTGCTGAACCGATCGAATTACGGCATTGAAATGTTTGAGCGCGACAAGGTAGACCAGCAGGCCAACCTTTTCCAACGCGACGACGGCAAGTGGCAAGATTTTCTTTCCCAGCGGACAGAACCGAGCGCAAGGAAACTCAGGCAGTCGGCAACAGCATGCGCAGCAGTGCTCAAAGAATGCAACTTTAGTATCTGGTATCTGGCTCAGCAGTCTGAGACCTTTCTCAAGTATGTCTCCAAGAAGACTAGAGACCCAGCTGCTGTTTCAACCTTCACATACAGAGGAGCTATGTGCAGAGTTTGTCACCAGTAAGTATAACAACTGAAGACAGGGAATTATTACTCACATACTGATTCAGACACCACTGTCTCGTCCATGGTGAGCTCAGAGAGGTACCGCAAGATTACTGGCCCAACGAAAACTCGGCGCAGAGCTCCGCAACTCGCAAACATCGGGAAGACTATTCGGACTATCAGGGTAACCCTTCTCGGCACACCTCACGGTTTAGTGATTACGATGATGAAGAGCCCGACGAAGAGGAGGAGGATGAGGAAGAAGACCAAGACCCGGGCGATCTCTGGCCAGCGCACCTTGATGACGATTCCGATGTCGAGAAGATAATCAACTACAAGCTTCCTGCAAACCCGAATGCTTTTGATGCATATACCGAATCAGAGATGATTGAGTCTAGAGGCTCAATACCATCAGACGGAAAGTTCGATAAGGTTTGGTGGTCGGACAACAGCTATACAATGCAATGGGAAAAAAGAAAGCCATTCTTCCCCTGCAGCCATGAAGGTAGCTGCGAGCAAGTGCAGTGCCGATGCTATAGAGAAAGTATCAATTGCGAAAAGACATGTCAATGCTCTCAATCGTGCAAGAGGCGTTTCCCAGGATGCAGTTGCACGTCAACGCCCGGGAAGCGCATCTGTATATCGCAGGATTGTCTGTGCATAGCGTTCAATAGAGAATGTGACGCAGATCTTTGCGGCTCATGCGGATCGGCGGAGATCCTTGACCCAGTAAACCGGTACGACGAAAGCCTCCTTGGAGGGCGATGCTGCGATGTGGCGATCCAGAGGGGTGTTCCTAAGAAGACGTTGCTTGGTCACTCTGAAGTGCACGGCTTCGGCCTTTATATGGGCGAGGACGTCGGGGAGGGCGAGTACATTGGAGAATACCTTGGCGAGACAATTTCACGGGAGGAAACTGTCCGTCGGGAGGCTATCTATGAGGCCGAAAAGACCATGTATCTGTTTGATTTGAACCTGAGTCAGTCTCCATCTCATTCCATACCTCATGCAATTTGGCTGATGACGATATACAGAACAAACAATCGATGGAACATGCATGAGCAACAAGACACGGTTCACCAACAATGCTCCCAAAGGCCTTACGAATTGCGAGGCGAAGAACCTTCTCTGTAACACGGTCTTCCGCTTGGGCCTGTATGCGACTAAGGACATCAAGGCTGGCACTGAGCTATACTTTCACTACAACTACTCCACGGAAGCTACCCGGGACTTCAAGCAACCCAAAGGTACGGTTGTTGCAGTCAAACATACGGCTAAACCAACCAAGCGGAAAGCCAATGGCAAGTCTTCTGATTCACTCTACCAATCATCCAGGGCAAAAAAACGCACGGCTAAGATAGCCGAGAAGGCGTTCCAGGACCCTACTAATAGTCGCCTTTCTTGGTCTCAAAATGCGCTGAAGACAGCACCCAGTGAGAGGTCCAGCCGACACCAGCATTTGAGAGTGTCGCAGCGACATGGCAGAGTGGGGAGGACGACGCGCAGGTCTTCTGCCGCACACATGGAAGGGGGCGAAAGCAACCATGACGTAGCGAGCGCCGAATCACATGAACCTCAGGCTACAACGTCGACTCAAGAGGTTCAAGCCACTGACGAAGACAACGAAGGCACGGCGATCGAGGAATCAGGGAACGACATGATTCGGCGAACCCGGGGCAAGGCAAGGAAAACGCCTAGCTCAACAGTGGTAGCGGTCGAGGGAGGACGTCCAGGCAGCAGCAGAAAAAGGAAACGACCCGTTGTTTTTAATAGCGACGATGGGTGACCCTTGAATGCCAATACGCTTGAGAAGTGGAGTAAGCCTAGTGGTACATGGTTGTTACCCCGTACTGTTCATTGTGTTGTAACATCGCTTTTACGATTTGCAGAGAGCTCTCCGAGCTTTACGGCCTTTCTTCTCTCCCCTAGCGGTAGTAATATGTACCTTACTGGTACGGCGCAACTGATCCCTTGAAATAGAACGCAAACTGTATCGGTCAGGGGACTTGGAAGAGCCATGCGCCCTGCATGTATGCTCTCCACTAACGTAGCAAAGCAATAACGGTGTAACAGCCTTTCATAGCCGATCCTGTTTATCCTCGACACATGTTAGCTCCGAGGATGACTTATTCGGTCTAAGACACGCAGCCTCAATGACCCGCGATGGTTGCTTCAATCGGTGTGCGTAAGCTAAGTGTCCGGGGGCCATCAAACATTTACCCCAAGTTTAGTGAGCCACGCACGGGAAGCGGCCTAAATCAAGCATATCATGCCAAAGAGAACATGCGGGTTCTTCAAGTAGTGACAAAGGCAGCCATCGCCTTCACAGCATCGCCATCATTCCCACGGAGCAATTCCGTCGCCTTCTGCTTTGACAGTTCGAGTTCCGCGACCTATCAGTTCAATTAGCCTCTCTTTACATGTTTACCCCCGCCCTCCCTCCACCACATGCAAATGAACGTACCAAAAGAGCAACGTCTGCTGCTTCCACCTTGACAATCTTCTTCTCCTCGCCTTTTTTGTCCTTCACGTTGAGACCCTTCATCGCCTTGTCTAGTGCCTTGTTGTCCACGTCTTTCTTCTCGCCGCCATCTTCTTGAGCGTCAAGCGATTCTAGCGCTGCGGCTGCTTTGCGGTCTTCTGCGGTGCCAGTTGGGGCGTGGGGGTCTGCGGCGCCTTCGCTGATGGAGGAGGGCTGCGGCTCTGCCATTGCTGTTCTGATCGATGGGTGTAGAAGGGTCGTGAATTGACTTGAATAGAGGGATGGAGGGAGGGAGGAGAGCTGGTGTGGGGTAGAGTTGACCGGGGATTTAGCTAAATTGGCCAATACCGAGGCTGATCAGCCGATGAACCGTTTCAGCCGATGAACCACTTTTTACTAGTAAAAAAGCTAAAAATCTAATTTTTTTTTATTTAATAACTAGTTATATAGTAAAGCTATATAAAAACTTTATATATATAAAATATATAGAAAAGTATTCTTTATAATTTTAGAATTTAAAAATAGTTTAATATTTTATATTAATAAAGTTATATTAAAAGTAAAA